GTTCGCACCCTCCAAGTTGGATTGTGTGGATTACGAACCCCCTTTTCTATCTGCACCTCATTTGCTTCGTCAACGCGCCAGTTCGATCCTCACAAAAATGGCCGTCGAGCGGCGGCGGGGGGGGGGAGGGGGGAAGAGGATATTTCCTTTGAAAGTGGTAAATATCCGAAGGTTTCTTTATTTCCCACTTCAACCATTTTTACCTATACCTCTCGCCTACGTACTTAACCACCACAGAAATTAATTTTCACCTCAAACCCCGTGATTTCGAGGAATAAGTAGATGACCCCCTCCTAACTAACCATGCTATCGAGCGCCGTTGTTACTACGTAGAAAGTAGGTTGCCTGCTTGGGAATGTCAACGGGGTCCAGTGGTTGGGTCGGCTGCTTGCTTTGCTGTTGCATTTTTGTGACTGATATTGGCAGAGTGACTGATTCTTATCATGTGGATCAGCCTACGTTGATTTTTAGATGAGTTTGTCGAGATACAGGCGAAACTTCTAATATGCACGATAATAAAGGTTAGGCGCAGTGTAACGGAGTGCGCGCTTCCAGTTTTGAGGTGAACGAAGTGAGATCTGTGTTTAAGTAGTCCAATAAGTCCTGGGGCCGATTTCTAGTAAAATTCGAGGTTTTGAATTAAGCTCAAAAGAAAGTGGGCGAGTCACTCATTGATGCTACATATGCATAGCCGGTAGTTCCAGGGTTGACCTATTTTGGACCGAGGCGACGGCTTTTAATTTGAAATAATAAAATGTGGGTGTTGAAAGCATGCAAACAGAAAGCCAGACGCTGCTTCACACCCTTTAGAAACCAAAAAAACTCATATCGTCTCAAGGCTATATAGGCTTCGATGATAGAGCTGATGGATGTGGGTAGCTCCGTTAGTTTTTTAGAGAATTAGGTCATTCGAATTTCAAATTTGGCTACAAACCTGTCTCTTGGGGTATTTTAATCTCCGGAACACGAATATCACACTTGTTTGCTGCAAAAACGTCTGCCAAGAGTTCTGTGGGCTCCATGTGCAATCTTTAGTAAGTACCGCCGAAACTGATTAGACTCCTCGCAAATCTTTGCACGAAATGACCTGGACCGCACCCAAGAAAAAAATAGACGATGACTGTCAAGGTAATTGCTAAAATTCAGAGGCGCAGCCGTTCGGTCCGTGTAGGTAACAACACTCGTTATGTGCATTCATTGCAATTTGTCGAGGATGGTGCACCCGGTCTCGGTTACGCGTCAGTATGTCGCATTGCACCAGTAGGTTGTGCCAGCTGGGAGGACCGCTGCATGATTCAGATTTCTCTTCTTCTTTCGCATCAAAGGAATCTCTTGACAAAAATGATTTATGAAGATAGCTCTGGCGTTGACTAAACTTTACACATAAGCACTACTGGATTCGACAAGGAGGAAAGCTACCCGCAGGAACGAAAGCAGGCCTACCTAGATGACTTCTTAGTTTTTGATAGGTTGCAAATGATTACCCCCCGCTTGTGTTTTGTTGTGCCGTGTTACAGAAAGCTGCTCTATACCTGCACCAGGGTATCGACCATTGTCGGCTTTAACAACCTTCGAAATTTGGCCGGAGCCATGCGTCCTCGAAGAGAAAAAATCCAATGATTGAGGCCACCTCGAAAATTGGAATGAAAGCGCTTCTATTCGAGAAAACGCGGATTTTTAAGTAGAAGGGTAAGTAAGCTTGCACCAGAAAAGTTTACAGTCCCTACGTGGCTTATCGCAGTCATAACGTGCTTGATTGAATAATTTCCAATATACCATTCAACAAAAAAGCACCAGTCAAAAATGTTTGACAAGTGTCGATGGTTTCTGGACACCCATATCTTCGCCATAAGTGGCAGTTACTATGAAGTAAGCGCCAGAGGTAAGCCTTGCAGGAGGAGCGAACTGAGCGCCGCGCCCCCACGCCTACAACTTCAAGACAATCCATGACTCCCTCTGTTAAACCAATTCCTAACTTCATATGTGTATTACGCCTTAGTCTACAAGTAATGTTTATTAGTCACAATTGAAACAAAGTAACAGCCTTCTTTCAATATAAGATCATATTTTCAATTAAGTTTTGTTAAAGATTTCTATCGTGTGTTCGTGAAATGGTAGCAAATCATTAAGAATTACAGTTCACAGCATGCATCTGAAAGCATCTGTATGAGTCATGTTCATGTTGCCGTTAGGCTGATGTCAGACTTTGCGAATCCAGCGAATCACGGAGCACGAGCGATGCACCAGCAGTTCGAACGATGTATTAGCAACGACTGATAGTGTTTGAATGTGGTGGGAGCTCGCACTTTCACTCCCGGACTTTCTCGAACTCTTGTGCCCTCACCTCGCTCATGCTTCGCGGGCCCAGGGAAAAGGCGAGAGTACATGAGCTTGAAGGGGCTCCACCCACTTTCGAACTGCGTTGAGTCGCTGGTGCATCGTTGGAACCGTGGTGTATACTTCGAGCCGATCGAACCCCGAACTCGCTAGCGGATACACGGAGTCGCAAAGTCTGACACCGGCCCTAGGCTGCTTTCATAGTTTGCGCCGTCCGCGGACGCCGATCGCACGGTCGCGAAGAGGCGTAGACTACGAAAGCAGCTTCAGGCGGCATTGATCCTTCTCGACCGCGGCAATGAATAGCTATGGCCGCGTTAATAGCTCGCAACTTCGGAAATTGGACAGTAGCAACAGTGAAAAAAGATGTATTGACAGGAAGGTTAGGATAGTATAGATTAGGGTACTAGGAGCAGGATAGTGCGCTGACAAGATTAGATATGTATCGCCTGACCTACTATCCTAATATCCTATCGCCTACACCCTATTCCGAGTCGCGGTCTATGAACACAGCCTTAAATAGCTACTTGGTTCAGGTAATGTATTACAATCACTTATTTTTTGGTGCTAAGTGAGCTCGGGAAGGGAAGGGGTACCACGCGGTGGCACGTCATCTCTCAAGTGCGATGGCACTAAGCCTGAGTCTAGGAAGGAGTGGGTAGGCTATGAACAATGCGATAGGTGAATTTGTGACACATGAAGACAGTTCTTATCCTTCTCTTGACTAGAGACCTGGCTGTTTCCCGTGCATCTTGTCAGTGGTGCGGATAGACATTGGCACACTGTATTGAGTTCACCTGAATTCAGAAAGCTGTAATGCATCATTACTGTAGAAGGTCGCGGAACTATTGGTGCGGTCCTCTTCCTGTGAATTTTCCGCTTCGGAAAGTTTGGAGGTTCATCGTTGTCTGGATGTTACGAAAATTGTTTACTTCTCTTGCAAAGAATCTATCTTTACTCGTGAATGATGAAGTTTTCCAGAAGTCGGTCACTGTTGTTATTTACAACGAGCTGCGATGAGATCTCTGAGCGGCGAATTTACTGCTGTTCAGTCAGTTCATGCGGTGCCCACTGTCCAGCTTTCTTACCCTCCCAAGTACCTTCAGGCGCTGCGACCTTTCATACGCTTTGAAAGGTTTTGCTGCTGATCGTTTTTTGAGAATCTCTTTCTGTCGTTTTCTAGAAAGTTGCCTTCAGGAGAATGGCAGCAATAGAAGTAAACTTTCTCAAACTGCTGCTTTGACGACTTCCTTCAAACTATAAAAAAACCAGAAGCCCGAGTTATCTAAAATTCAATAGAAATATGAGAAAATGAATGGAATGGGCTTTTCAAAGATGCAGCAGTCGGAAGAAAATCTCCCGGAAGGTTGTCTAATAAAGATGACACATCGAAGCCCTCATTACTTTCTGGACAGTCTAATAGATGGTCATACGGTCAGCGTTATCCAACGCGCTGTCGAGAGGACGATGCTAGGAGTAACCCTATACACGCAAGTGCAGAGGGGAATCCGGAGTTCCGAACTACGCCAACGATCGAAGATCAGGGACGCTGCCGTTTTCGCCAAGGAATCGAAGATAAGGTGGGCCGGACACGTCATGCGATTTGCGTGACCGTTGGACCACAGCGAATACGACCGCTTTTTCACGAAAGCTCTGAACGAAAGGAATAACAGACTTCGTGTCCCTCGAGCGAGGAGGATCCACTGGACCACTCTAGCACGCGACAGGGACGAATGGAGACGTTGCTGGCGCCCGCTCGAGCAATCGATGATCAACGGGACGACAGGTGATACAGGTGATACAATATAGCGGCTTCATTTATCTTGGAGTTCACGAGAAAGTGCTCACACATTACCTTTTTGCAGAAGCGGGTTCACGCGCTTTGGAGCTATTCAAATCCTCTTCAAAAACTGGGATTACTGAGGCAAGCGCGAACTATGAATACGACCACAACTGCGAAATAACTCCCCCCCCGCCTTATCACCCCGATTCCTGAACTCGTCATATTCAGCTATCTAGCGGTATATATGTATATTCGCAATGCATTTGGGAATGAGTATTTTTTGAGAACTTGTTCTGTTAGGGGCGAACTGGAGTGAAAGTATTGCGGATGTTTAATGCATAGGAGAGCTTAAAGGAGGAATTCACGATTAGAATGAAGGTCGAAGAAAGGGAAACTGACCTAGTTGAGGGACCCACGGACCTCCTGAGGGTGCGAACTGACGCGCAATTCGCATGGAAAAATTTGACCTCGGCGACCTATCATGCCTCAAAGCTGGCGGGTCGGCGATCTCCGCCCACCGATCATCTGATCACTCGCCGTAGTTCAATACGTGGCGAGTGATTAGATAGCTGAGAGAGCGTAGTGTTGAAGAGGGCACAGCGATGAGAGTCGCATCAATGCTCAAATCAACGGGCAAGGAAGGGGTCCCATTTCTCGGGTTCTGGGCCGTTTCTCATGGTTCTTCCTTCTTTCGTGTACCACTCACCATCCCTAGGTTAATTTGAAATGGGTTGCTTTTTCATCGTGAATTCGTCCTTTAAATTGTATAATTTGTAGCATAACACATAGCTTAACACCATATCTTATGAAATAAGAGAAATGAATGTAATGTCTCTGAGTTAGAATGGAATGTTAAATACCTTAACTATTTTGTGTGCCCTTATTTCTTTTCTTGACTTCTTTGGGTTCGTTCACTTTGAATCTCCGATTCTTGTACACTTTGGAGCAACTCATCCGCGAAGCCTTGCAAAACCTTTTTCTCTTGAATTTTCGGCCTCCGGTTTTCTTTGCTCCCAACGGGTTCTGCGCTGCTTTTTGCAAAAGGATCCCAGTCTTTCTGCTGTTGTTCTCCTCCATAAGTGCTCTTCACCTGTTCCATGCTGACCGTTGACAATGTACTTCGTACTAGACTGTTCGTATACTCTGGATTATAATTCAGCAGGGGATCCGCAGCATTGCCCTCTCGAGACTAAAAGTAGCGATTGACTTGGCGTCTCAATGGAGTATTCATATATCAAACAGTATTTGCGATTGCAATTTCGATGTTTTCAAGTACTTAAAGTCGCACGTTTTCAACTCGTTAGTGATCGCACACTGTTTTGGATTATTGCGCGCTTGGAACACCGCAGTTCCAGACGATTGCAAATCGGCAGCCACTAGTAGCTGATATTGCCCCTATGACATTTTCTAACATGAAATAAGCGATGAAGAAATCGTTTTCAACTGTCACAACAAGGGCACTTGCACCACTGGAATATTTATTTATTTTCTAGACGCAGCGTGACTGCGTGAAACTCAGCAGTACCACAAAGAAAAGCCAAAACCACAGAAAGCACCGTCTGGTGACGAGAACACATAAAGATACACAAATCAACATAATGTAAATAGCTCTGATAAAAACTAGTCTGAACTATCAATCGCTCTATGAAGAAAGCTCCGCATTGGCCGCCTCAATTGCTTTATTCGGAATGACGCAAGGGAACAGCGCAACTATCCTCATCAGGAAATTTTGTTCAAGATTGGTAGCACTCTAGCAGCAAAAAATCAAAGGGTAAAATGGGCTTCAAGAAGAACGTTATTGCTGCTACCGGTGTGTACATGTCCAAGCAGCGACCCGAAGTCAAATTTTTGGGGTAACAGTGTCGATAATGAATTCTGGATGCCGAGTTGATTGGAAATGAACAAAGCAAGCAACACGCACCGCCGAAGTCCTCAAATAAAGTTGCACTCCCTCCTTGACATGGGGCGGGGCGTGTTTGGACGAGTTTTCTGAAATCGCGCCTCAAATGGCTCCACCAACCGCGCGTGTTTGAGTTAATCGCTACGTCGTAATCCATGTTGCGTGTCATGAGGTGTACGCTCCGTGCAACCAAGCCGCGTCACTTTTTCGGAAAGACTCAGGCGCTTAGATTGGCCGCAGTTCGGGCCGCGACAAGGGCACAGCTATGGTGCTCGCGGGCTACTCTGTCCGGTCCTCAAGGATAATATTATCAGAGGCAGGGATAGCCGAGTGGTTAAGAGGTTAGACTCATGTCTGCACCTCGCGAGTTCGATCCCTGCCGAGGCTCTAAACCATGCCTTGCAAAAATTGCAAAAATGGTTCTAGTACCAGCGTCAGGCCCAGGTTGACAGGCCGGCTGATGAACAAATATGTCTAAAGTCGAAAAAGGAATCAGTGATAAAGCTAGGACGTCACCCGGAAGTGGCGCGCAGAACCCCCGCCCGAGTTCTGTGGTCAGTATGCGAGGGCTACCGAGGAGTGAACGGCCTCGGCCAAAGAAGCTAGTTCGAATTGGGACTCTGAACGTAGGATCGCTAACTGGGAAGTCCCGAGAGGTTGCTGATTTGAAGTCCTATGCCTTCAGGCAGACGCGATGGAAAGGTGCTAAGGCCAGGGAAATCGGAAAGGTGTCAAACTCTACTACAATGGAGAAGACACCAAGCGGAACGGCGTGGCCATAGCGGTAGCGGAGTCGCTCAAGGACTATGTCTCCGCTGTGAACAGGATCAGCGATCGGATCATGGCTGTGAGGATAGACACGAAGGATATTGGACAATACTGTACGCACCACAAGTTCCTGAGCTATGAAGAGGGTACAGAACCGATCGTAGACAGCTATGGTGAGACCATCGAATGGGTGGGCTTCTGCTACCTTGGGAGCGACCTGGCAGCTGACGGTAGTGTGGAGAGGCAGCTTCACTCTGCCGGAATGAGGATGCTGAGATGGGCCTGCGGCTGGACGCGGCTGGACAGGGTCAGAAACGAGGATGTCAGAGCGGTCATGCAGACTGCCCTGTCCAAGCTGAAGGTACGAGATACGATTATAGGGTCGCTAATGAACGGTTCACAAAAAACACAAATAATATTAAATAGAACATAGCAACATTTGATAATGGTACAGTATAATGTCAGGTTAGAGATTAAGAGATCACCTCAATGCCTTTTATGTTCGATCAAACACCAGTTTCTGTTTTCAAAACCACCCTGCAGACATACATTGAAAACTCTCTGACTTTGCTCCTAAATGAGCTCGAGGAGTCAGAGTTAATGATGGAGGGCGGTAATCATTCCAAAGCGTGATCACTCTTTGCGTGAAAGAACTTCGGAATTCTGTCAAATTGTTTTGTCTCTCAAAAGTCTATAGCTATGATCCTTAGTACGACTAATCGTTAGAGGTATTATAAGTACGTGAGCATTTCTTTTTATTTCCTCGATGTCACTGCCCCTCCTGGGTTTGGTCCTACTGGATGCCCCCGTATTTTGTGATAGCGCCGAAAAGGATAAAATATCACAAATCCAGGAAAAAAATCAGTGGGATGCGTAGGAGTGATCGCTGACAATGGGTTAAAATTTACCCGTTTGAACGGGTTCTATGCATCAGCTAAGTAATAGCAAGTATTAGCCACGACTTGCGTTTGGGCAAAATGTCCCAGTATATTGCGATAGCACATGATGCTGTACTTTTTAAGGAGGATGCACATGATGCTGGATTAAGGAGGGTCAATTAATACATTGGGAGTGACTGAAATCGATGATTGGTCCTGCCCATTATAGTGTAAGTTGATGGACATTTGAGGACTTGTTTTATTGAATTTTTTTTGAAAAACATGAACGTCTTTAAAAAGTTCATACAAGGTCTGGCAGCCACGGGTGGCTGCCGTTGTCTGTATAGGACATGATCTTGTCAGTCACGGATAGTCGCTACAGTCGCGAACAGTTCAGAACTTCAGCTGCCCAGGGATGCTCTCATACTTCAGCTCACTCGATGCCCGTGAATGTTCTAGAATAAGTCGATTTCCCGTGCGACGGAAATCGAAGTGTGAAATTCATCGCGTATCAAATGGAACTGAATAATAGGGTGTAAAATCGTTGAAAAAAATCGTATGCTTTGAAACCTACATAGTGTTCGTGGACTGTGCTTGGGAAGGTCTCCATTGCATCAAGAAGCCGCAACTCTAGGATTTTTCCAATAAATATCAGCAGCGAAAGAAGTCCAATCAAAGCTGAACCGTTTTGTTTCAAACAAAAAAAAACGATTGCTAGAATAGTCACCAAGAAATGGCTAGATTTATGCACGTTGAACTGTGGCGCGGATGTACTAATCGTCAGTTGACCATTGAAATGAGAACCATTGAATGATTCAGGAATATAAGGTGCGATGAGCACGCATGTCAGGCAATTGGCAAACTTTGCGGTAACGCTAGCAGTTCAGTAGCGATTACTCGCTAACTCTGATACATGCCTGGGCTTTTTCCGTGCTGCGTTAGGTGATATGCACGGTGATGGCAGCACCAAACCAAGCTTTTTACCACTTTGACGACCGCGCTCTTTTTCGCTGTCTGGCATGTAGGACCGCACAAACGTGACATGATATAAGGCCACACGGCCCCACAGAACACCGTTTCCCAGGGAATCGTTTATTTGTTATCTTTCTTGTGTGGTAGGTCTCGGATTTTGCGATTTTGGCCATTTCAGCGATTCCTGCGATTTGAGAGCGCGTAGAAAGGGCCAAAGCTAACGTGCGATTGAGAGAGTACCCTCCTAGGATCACTTCCTGGTCCCTGTATCTTGAGCTTATAGAATGATCGTTGGATTGCAATCGGATTTACATGTCGGAAACCACTCACAGACTCGAGGATTTGCGGGAAAGGAGGAACGGAGGCAAAGGAAAACGTTCACAGACAACGCAGAAGCGGCTACAACTATGCAGGATCAAAGGGCGCGCATATGTCCGTCAAAGGGCCTACCAAAACTCATGTAGCGAATAATTATTGCAAACAATTTTTGTTTCGACTAATTTCAGCCTAAGCACAAAAAGTGCGGCTACTGATCATTATTCAAACATTTTTTGAAAAACTCGATAGCCCATTAACCGAAGCTTCTTTCCAGGGACCACGCCTTTTGTAACAATGCCTAAGTATGGCGCATACATCACGTAAATAAGTTACCTAAAATGTTTGAAAACCAGCTTAAAAAAGACTGTGACATGACATCATGTCACACGGTCCCACGTGGCCGAAAGAGTGTGGTATGACATCATACCACACGGTCGTCAACGTGTTAATCTAATCTCTAGCTTTAAGAAAGAGCAAAGCAGTCGTCCAAGAGGCTAAATATTCACCGAATATATTATAGGACCGAGCAATTAATGATGGGACTTCAGTAGTTTAAGTGGCGAGTATTGCTGTCTTATAGGGTTGGGTACATCGCAGGGTCACAACTTTTAAATAAAAAAAATAATAAATAAATAATAATAAACCTTCAAATTCTAGTTGTTTGCTTTTTCAGAGGACCATTTTCACTGGTAATCTCAGTGAGCCCCATATGAAATTATTAGATCGAAGACAGAATACGACCGTGCACTAAACATAGAGCTATAGGGTGTTCTCACCACAGATGAGCCATTGACCTTGGAGTGGTCCATTGATGTCATGATAAAGCATAGCTTGCCACTCTTTCCACAAGATAGGTAAGTCGCTGCATTTATGGTACTCGGTCCTCACCAAATCCTGAACCAAAGCATTTCAGCATCACCCAATGCATAGAAGTTACTCGGGGGCATAGAAAATCCCGATCAAAAGAAAGTGCAATGGTAATGAGAAAGCAACTTCACTCTTTATCTCTGTGTAGATGTCAATATTTTTGACTTAGGTGTGATGTTAGGTTTCCTTCGGACTAGCTTGAGAGGAAGTGACTGCACTATATAAGACGTAACTCTTTCTCAACTAATGGTGTGATGTTGTGTGCTCATTTAGGAATCATATAGGAATTCTCCATGGAACTTCAACAGATCCAATGATGCATCCAGGCACAAGCGGAAGCTTATTTCTTGCTACACTACCAACAGTCAGTGTGTTATCCTACTGGTTTTATCGCTTATAGGCCGTATTTTTCACCATAGTGTCAACTGTTCTCAACCACGCTTTGCGCACCCGTAGACAGCCTTCGTAAGCGCCCCGAGCCAGCTCCTGGGGTTCGTGTTTAGATCAAAGAGGTGCCTATAGCACCCGCCCCTGTTGTGCTGCGGCCTCGGCAGTTGGTTATTTTCAGGGCTCGGTGGCTCGTGGTTCTAATGTACACATTCGAAAGCTTACTCATGCGGCCTATTAGTAGAAAAGAACCATGTAGAACGCACTGTTTCTCCATTCAGCTCTACAAATACGTTCTACTGGGGTCTTATGGAGTTTCATCTCAGTTGTTGTTTTTCCCCTAGACTAAGTCAATCGGTTGTGAAACAAGTGATTGCAGCTTTGCTATACCTTTTCTATGATTGACCAATAAATAAATAAATATGAAAGAACGAGGAATGAGGCGAGTTGCCAAATTAGTAACGCTTAGAAAAGCTCTGCTAAACTGATGCACATTTGACCGTACAGTGGACTATTTCGTTCACAGATACGTTGTGGTGTGATCCATTGAACGAATACCAAATACCAGTTTTGCTTCGCCCGCTATCGCGCGCATCACACGGCAGGCTTTAGCGAAACTGGAGGACCCATGGAATATCAGCATGAGATACTCCATTAACCATCTCACTATTGACTGTGTTAGACCCTCCACAGTTTCACTGAAGCTCATCGAGAATACGCGTGATAACGTCTGAGCTGAACTGGTATATTGATCACAACTCTGTAAACATCCAGCATTTTTCTTGAATTAAGATAATTTAGCGGTGAATAGGATTGCTGTCAGTCTCAAAATCAAAACGAAATATGCCTATTTACATAAGTGAGGAGCTAATGCTTATCATTCATTTACATTCATCATTATTTAGAACCACGAAAGGATTAGCGGTTTAATGAGTTTGGGTTTTCTTAATAGTCAGAAATGAAACTTATCATTTGCTGAAGACTTGTTTTTTAATTTATGCAGTCGAATTCTATTAAGTAAGCTGGATATATCGAAATAATGTGCACGTACCTTTGTTTGTACTACTACGACTTACTACAATTTGTAAGTAGGAACGCTCTAGTGTCAACGCTGCGTAACGGAACTAACGACTTTTGCGTTCTGACGCGCCTTATCAGCCCTTATCAATCGTTATCAGTTTCTGGCACCCACCAACAATGTCCCCGTCCCACCCCACATAACACTTGTAAGTATGGTTGCTCTGGTGTCAACGCGAGCCAGGCAACGGAATCGACGACTTTTGCGTTCTGGCGCATCTTATCAGCCATTATCAGTTGCTATCGCTTCCAATCATGTACCACCAATGTCCCGGGACCGCCCCACATAACACTTGTAAGTATAGACGCTCTTTACCAATATGAACGACAAAACGAAATTGGCGATGCTCGCTTTCTAGCCCCTCTTATCAGCTATTATCAGTCGTTATCAGTTCCTATCACGTACCACTTGTGTCCCCATCCCACCCCCTATAACATATGTAAGAACCACTGCGCTATCGTTACTGTGACTCGAGCTATGAATTTCCGGTCAAACACACACACACCAACAGACACACGCTAGCCGCTTATATATAGTAGGATTTATAAGGGAAGAATCGTGTAATCGTGTGAAGAGGGATGGCTTGGGTAGGACGCGCTACAGCTTCACGCTGTCTTCGACGATAAAATGTATTGGGCTGATGCATAATTATTGCGCCTTTTCTCGCGCCTTCTTTCTTCCAAGAATATTGGCGTTTTGCTTATCATTTTTCATGAAAACATTCTTCCCTCATTAATTAACCCATTCGATATGGCAACCGCAGGTGGCTGCTTCTTCAGAGCCCTCTCAATAATTGCATCGCAATCAGGACTAGCCATAAGCCTTTGGAAAGTGGAGGGCTCCAAAGTGAGTGGGCCAATCACTCTGCAATCTCACATACTTCAGCTTTTGCCACATGGTGCTTTGTTTACGTACTATAATTTACCCACTGTAAGTCACGTCCTTTCCCGAGGCTTTGTCGTAAGCGCTTAAGTGAGAGAGTTCATGAGAGCAGAAAAAAAGCGTTAACACGTTGACGACAACGCGAGTTTTGGCTTTTTTGGCCACGTGGGACCGGGGCGATTTTGCGGCAGCCCAAATACATATATAATGATCAATACAAAACCAGATCAGTAAATTGTAATGAGCACAACCTACCCAGGGGTACAGTAGTGGAATTTCGATCGAAAGACATGGAATAACAATGAAAAAGCGAAATTTGTCAGAACTAGCTGCAATGGACCTCAAAAGCAATTTTACGTTGATTATTTCAATCAAAACACACATGTTGTACTTCTACTACTATTTAAATCTTCACATTCATAAAAAGAAAAAGTAAACGAAAAATTTATTAAACTGAAGATTTCGTATGGTTCAGAAATCCTCCTCTAAATTAAAGCATACGTGACCATTCTATGGGCCACTATGTTTGTAGCTACGTCAAGGTCTCTTCCATGGAATGAATACAAGAAACTTCTAAAAGAATCAGGCGTGCGCGAAAAAAATGAGTGTAATGGGTGCGGGGATATATATCCCGCACGGTCCGACATGGCCTGCAATGCGCGGGATATATATCCCCGCGTTGTCGTCAATGCGGTAAAAAAAGCACGAACGGGGAAAAGAAATGTCTTATATGTTATCAGAGCCTCAAATAACCATTATATAGAAGTTTACTGCGAATTTGATGAATTCAGTCAGAGCCTTCTCATCTGGCGCCAATTTGATGCCAGCGCCAAAAATAATCTCATATTCGTGGTAAGCCTTTGATACCCCATGGGAGAAGTTTCAGCGAATTTGATGAGATTCAGTCAGGGCACCGTCTGGCGTCAAGTGGCGCCAGTGCTAAAAGTGAACCCCATATTCATGATCAGGACCCTCAATAACCGGTAAGTTTCAGCGAAAACAGCAGAAAATATATATAGAAGGAATCAAAAAAGATGGGAAAGACGGTCGTCTGGGACAATTGCAGTCGCTGGTGGCTGCTATTGCGCAATCGCCTCTGCCGGCGCTGGTCCAACGAGCAGACTTACAAAATTCTGCGTGGTCGAAATGGGTTAAAAGAAGAGCTTATCAAATTCATCCTCATCTTCACCACATATGCTCTACCACCTCAATAAAGGTTGGAAGGCGGCGGAGTCATTTCGCGATCTCAACGAACTTTTCGGCGAGGGAACAATCAGCAAAAGCCAAGTTGAAAGATGGTTCAAGAGGTTCAAAACGCCATATTACCGACCGAAGCTCCTACAGACTACCACTTCAATCAGTCGTTGAAAAACTGGCAAACGAACAAAATTACGACGAGCTGGATGACTTGGTTGTTAGAGCGTGGATCGTCTCCAAGAATCGTGACTTCTTCACCCGTGGAATCACCGACTGCCAAGCAAATGGGAAACATTCTCGAAGGATGGTGAATACTCCGGAGTAATTGTTGAATTTTTTATCGTTTTCGCGGTAGAAAATACCAAAAAGATAAGACTGCAACAACTATGCACCAACCCATTACTATTCAAGAGGATTCTTAGAGCGATCGCCTAATTCTGTGCCACCCCTATTCTCTTATCCCTTTCCATACCGGGTTAGTCGTCTACAGCTTTTGCCACCTCATGGCTTTCCCCTTAAAAGTGTGACCTTGACCACCTCCTTTATGCGAGGTTAAAGGCACAACCCAGGCAGAGGTCGTGTGAACGCTTCTCTTCGGTCAGAAGTATAGAACCCTAGGGGACAATCACAAATGTGGCGTTCACGTGCACGGAAACCGACCGACAAGAGCGCTTGGGCCTTGCAAAGTAAGCTGCTCGAGCTGCAGCGAACGAGCTCTCTTATCAGGCCGTTGTCTGGTGCTCTCTCATCTTCGCGCTTAGTCTCTCGTTCCTTTAGCACAGCCAATTAGGAAGGTGAGTGAGCCCTCAACCTGAGCGTTTTCGACGGATTCTTTTCCTTTTTTCTTCACTGCCGGCCCACTTGGCACCGATACATTCACATTCGTGTGCAAGAGCCACACCAGTGCGATCCTGGGGGCATGCCTTAAGCAAAGCGAACTAAGACAGCATCGGATTGTGACTCGCGGCCACCTGCGAGGACTGCCTAATTATGGTGCTATTTCATACGTCCGATTACAATTTTGTGCGCACAAATTCCTGTCTTGGGGACAGATCGTCCTAAACTAAAAAATGTAATTGGTAAAGGCGGTCGATTCGATTAGGGTGCGGCAAAAGTGACTGGTTAGCAGATTATTGGGCTAAAGCCGATTGTTGGCCGAGTTCTTAATTGACAATTCCATATGCGGAGGGTCTCTTCATTCAGCAATACTAGTACTCCTGAAGTGGCAGTTTCTGTGTTAGAATGTAAGGTTCATAGAAAGAGTCACGACGTCTGTGTAAGTGTTAGGTTCAGATTTCAGTTGAGCGGTGCTCAATGATTGGCTCTAAAAAAATTGTCTCCACTCACTCGAGCATTTTACAGGACTTAGGTGAACTATGTTGCCACTTCTCCAACATGACGAATCCACTTTACTCTA